TTTACTGATTTTTAAGTGTAGTCAGCAGAAAAGTTAGAGAAATTTTCAATCAGAAACGCATGGGAGTTTTGTAGTAAAAACATAATTTGCGAGTAAAAATTTTTTAATGTCGAGATTTAGTTACGTCCTTTTGCGAGGGAAACGACCGATACGAGGTTTCGCACTCGGGCCCGCGATATGTAAGCTTTAATTCGCACTTTTTCTAGTGGTTCGTTGGATGCTGGCCGTGACTTAAGGTGATTCGATGGACGTCATATTTTGTATCAGAACGGCATGCGATATATCGCATCGATTAGTTATATTTTTTCAGCCAGGCACTCGTCATTGTTCTCGATTTTTGAGATCGCAGTTCTGTCGCCAGGAGACAAAAGAATTAACTTACCAATTTTGACAAACAAATTCAGCTTACTGTAGGCGTGGTTTTTTTTTAGAGGAAAAATATCGTATTCGACACTGATGTCGAAACTGCACTCGAATGCGATATTTTCCCTCTTAAAAAACTACGCCTTTATCACGTTGAATTTGTATGTCAAAATTGGTAAGTAATTTTTTGGTCTCCTGGCAACATAATACCGATCTCAAAATTCGAGGAAAATGACGAGTAGCTGAAAAAATGAAACCAATCTATGCGATATATCGCTTGTCGTTTTGACACAAAACATGACGTCCATCGAATCACCTTAAATCGGTCCGATGCGTCGATTAATCGGATTTTTTGGGTAAAAACCGCGATGGGATTTTCCCATTTTCCGCATACACTATTTTGCAATTGTCGCCCTCGCATAGGTCCTGAAACTTATTCCCCTTCGCGGTAGTGCCCTTAGGGGCTGCTCGTGTTTTAGGTGGACTCAGATTTGGCGTGCGGACTTGTGAAGGAGCCTTGTGGACTTGTGAAGGTGCCTTGCGGACTTGCGAAAGTGGCGTGGCTCCACCAGATTCCTTCTGCGAGCCTGCTTGTGCCACGCTGGAAACAGGTAAATCAAGTGCTATCGGTATGCATGTCGAAGGCAATAGTCAAATCAGGCATTTTGTCACATATTCTTACTTAGAGTGAAATTTTTGTCATGGGAACGGAGTTCCCCATGATATTACAATCGTTCCGTTGCTTTCCAAGCTGCTGCGTTGCTGCCAAGTCAGGACTATAAGAGGGATGAGGGATTGTTTCAACTCCATTTTTACTCATAAATTCACGTGTTAAGCTCGATGTGTGAGGCCGCGCATTGTCTTGATGGAGTATCCACGAAGCTTTCAAGTCCGACCGTTTCCGGGAAATGTGCATTCTCAACTCCTTTAGTACTTTGCAATAATACGCACTGTCAACTGTTGTGTTTGATGGTACAAAATGTTGATAAATGACACCTCGAAAATAAAAAAACACAATAAGCATCACTTTATCGGATGTTAAGTTTAATACTTGCTAAAAAACAGCTGTTGATAAAATTTGAGATCTAGAGAGGTTATGCTTTTCTTATGTTTTTTCTTGGTATATTCTTGGTGAATGGTCCTCAATAAAAGTGTCGTTTCTTCTTAATTATTTCTATTTTTCTGAGATTCAACATCGGCCGACTTTTCGATTTACGGCGATGAAGAATCTTCCTTAAAAACCGTAGGCGTAAACTTTCCTCGCTGATTTCAAATTGCCATAACTCGGTCAATTTTTATCCGATTGAGCTGATCTTGGTTTTAATCGATAGGTATTGAGTTGATCTTTAAAATGAAATCAAGATCATGTCTGTATCTATCTTACTTTCGAAGTTACAGAACAAGTCCCGGTGCTTTTGGGACACCTTATGTACACTTTACGCCGAAAAAGCGAACCTGAAACTTAAATGCGTTAACTTCCGAAAACCATATATAATCCAACGAAAATAAATAATTGGTACATAACAGCTTTCTTGTATGCAAAGAAAATAATTAAAAATGTTAAAAAAGAGATGTCAACACAAAATTACATAGCCCCTTCAATTCAGAAGATACTACAAACGAACTGTACCTTAACATTTTCATATCCCAGAAGCTAACGTTCCCATGACGAATATTGCTATCGCTAGCGATTGCAAAATCCAACTTGTTATTTTTTACCCTAATTATCGACAAACTAATTCGTTGCTCCTGTAATGTAGAATTCTCTCTAAAAGTATGCAGCAAACAATAGTATTTTAAACGATTTTAAGATCCTGAATGCACATTTATCATGACATTTTCTGCACCTAATAAAACATAGAATTTATAAAATTTTAACATTTAAATGTACTAAAGGCATGTAGAGGTGTCGTCAGCTAAGTTGACGGTTGTTTACTTTCGGTTTGCAAGCGCCAACGACGAATTTTGGGCCTCTGAACAAAGCGTTGTTCGCTACTATCCACATTAAAAACATCAGTCTCATGATCGTATCGTAAAAAAACTACTTATCAGTTATGATTTGCGACTTTTTTGTGGTTGTGATTCCTGTGTGGCTAAAAATTAAAGTGTTACAAGGTTTGAAAGTATTATAAAACTTATCTAAGCTTGTGTTCTTGCTTCTGAGAGAGCCAGATGTTTTCATGTGGATAGTAGTGACGCGAAAACGCCTGCAAACCGAAAGTAAACAACCGTCAACTTAGCCGACGACACCTCTAAAAAGGAAGGAACAAGGAGAGTTCTCGAATTTGAAGAGTTATTCTTCCCAAAATATTGAATACCCGTGAACTCCTCGCCATAAATTTACAGAATTCCGTTAATTTTCAAAATTTGACCACCGGTCTAGGCATTTAATAAATTGCCTGATTTGACTAATTGCCTTCGACATGCATAAAGCAAGGCAAGTCGACGGTGAAACTGCTAAAATGCGTACTTATCTCAGTTGCGGCGTTCAGGGTGTCTACCAATCCGGAATTTCCAGATAGTCCGAAAATACTACTGATTTTTTTAAAGGCGGTACTGAACTGCCGTGATAACGAAGAGAGCAGTAAGGGCAAAAAATGAAGTTGTGAGAAAACGGGCTCAGAAGCGTCTGGCCGGAAAATTTTATTGAAAGAAGCCTCCGTTCTTTGTCAAATTTTCAATAATCGACCAAAAGACTCCTAAAAATCGTTTGGATGATTAGAAATCGACTCGTTTGATTTGAATCACATGAGAAGACTCTTTTTCATTTTCATGCAAGGCTATTGTTAGGCAAGACAGCTGTAAGTGCTATCCTCTGCATGCTTTTGTGGTTGCGTTTTGGACACATAGGTACACAACAAACGCGATTCCAGGTTAGAAATCGGCAGGAGAGGGCGCCCATTTCCTAGAAAACACTTTTTATTGGCTCTCTGGAGGAATAATGTCACTTACTGCTGTATTGCCTGCAACTAGATCATTTTTTGCGCGCTCACTCTTTTCTCGTATGTTTCGTTTTTATATAATGGAAATGAATTTAGCTATTTTAGCTATTTCAGTAATTTCATCTGAAAGAGATTAGACGAATTTTGAATGAAACTCGATTTCGAAAATTTGACCCTTAGGTACTGCTTTCTTAGCTATCACGGCAGTGAAGAAGTACGGAAATCCCTCAAGAAGGTTACTTTGTCTGCCGTGCTAGCGAAGAGAGCTGTAAGTGCAAAATTTTCGAAATCGAGTTTTCTTCAAAATTCGTCTAAACTCTTTTAGATGAAATTACTGAGACAGCTAAAACAGCAAAATTCATCCTAATTTAATGAAAACAAGGCGTATGAGAAAGCCGTAAGTGCATAAAAAATGCCATAGTTTTTTTCAAGACAGCCGCAGATGCATGAGAGCCAATGAAAACAGTGCTTTCCAGTAAAGTGCCGCCCTCTTCTGCCAATTTCTAACCTGAAAATGTGTTTGTTGTGCGTCCAAAACGCAACCACGAAAACATGCAGAAGATAGCACTTACGACTGTCTTGCCTAACAATAACCTAGCAAGAAAATGAAAAATACCCTCTTTATGTAATGGAAATAAAATCTGTCGATTTTCAATCATCCATACAATTTCTAGGAGTCTTCCGGACGATTAGTGGCAATTTGACGAAGAACGGAGGCTTCTTTCAATAAAATGTTCTTGTCAGGAGCTTCTGAGATCGTTTTCTCAAAACCTCATTTTTGCACTGACGGCTCTCTTCGCTATCACGGCAGTTGTTTTCTTCTTCCCGATGGCTCAAAGTAACGCCGCGTCTTGCCGTGAATTCAAACGCCGGCCTTGATACAACTATTCGTACTTGATGGATGTCTATGTTGCATAGCCACAAATTGAAGGCGCTCCCGCTATCTTCATTTTGACCACTGATAGATACGATACGACGCAATTCAACGACGGCAGTTCATGTCAGTGGCGAGGCGTGAATGCGATCGATATTTCTCCACGGGAAGCTATGGTAAAGAGTCGATCATTAAGGTGTTCGCTGCGAACAGCCTGTTAATCGAGCCTTTATCATAGGTTTGAATGGCAGATCAATCGATATATTGCAAAGCACGCCACGCCACTGGTTCGTGCCTGATTCATATCGAGGTCACTAATTTTCAACCCAAAGATTTGGTCAATGTAACTCAAAGAAAAATTAACCAACAAGTATTTACCGCACTTTTAGGTTACTTCCAATATAACACAAAACGCTGGTCACTTTCTCTTACCGCGTTTGAGATCGCAATTCTGTTGTCAGCTAAGGAGACTAAAGCACTCACTTACCAATTTTTACAAAGATATTCAACGCAATAAAGGCTTGGTTTTTTTTAGAGAGAAAATATCGCATTCGAGTGCAGTTTCGATATCAGTAGCGAATGCTATGTTTTCTCTCTGAAAAAACCACGCCTTTATTACGTTGAATTTCTTTGTTAAAATTGGTAAGTGAGTGCTTTAGTCTCCTGACAACAGAATCGCGATCTCAAATTTTCGGAAAAAAGGACGAGTTAGCCGAAAAAATGGAACTAATTTATGCTAATCGCATGCCGTTCTGACACAAAATATGGCGTCCATCGAATCACCTTAAGAGTTTTTAAGTCATTTCAAAATTTGACGAATCTTACCCAGACGCAGAGCCTGATCGATCTTTCCACGCGGGCGGGACCTGATCTGCCGATTCATAGTAGAAAGTCCGGCCTCCGAGACCCAATTCACTGGGGTGGAAAGGTTTTTGGCGACCGCCCGTCGGGCCTGAAGACGGGGGCTTCTGCTCACTCGGCTGCTGATTGGCTCCCTCGGATTGGCGCTTTTGATCCCTGACTCCGCTCTGCGAACGCATCCATCTCCAATCAAGATTCAGCCGGGCACGATCTCGCTTCTCATTGGCTGGATTTAAACGCTGTGGAGATCGTGACTGGTCCCGCTCGGGAGGCTTCGTCTCTGGAGACCTCGGCCGCGCTTGCTTGGGTGAGCGGTTCTTCTCTGGGGATCTCGGTCGCCGACGATCGGGTGACCTCGGTGACCTCGCCGAAGGGTCACTTTCATTACCGGAGAGAATAGCTAGATCCTTGTCCGATTCATCATCGCTGCTGTCGAAACTGGAAAAATAGTAGTAGCTACTTTTATCATGCATACATATAAAGCGCTTTACAGCACTCCCTCGCGCTCTACGACTCCTAACCTCCACTGCTCTCTTTCAAACCACAAATCTTGGGGGATTGAGCACCTTAACATTTCCGCTTCAATCCCTTCCCTCCAACTTTTCATTGGGCGCCCTCTGCGTCTTCTCCCAGGAGGAACCCAGTCAAGGACCTTCTTCGGCAACCGGTCTCCTGCAATTCTCTGGACATGACCATACCAAATGAGTTGTTTTGTCATAATGTCATGCACGATGGTCTGCTTGGCATCCATGATCTCCCGTACCGTCTCATTCCTGACGCGATCCTTTCTGGAAATACCAGCGGATCTACGCCAGAAGTCCATCTCTGTTGCCTCTAAAACCTCCCGGGTCCGCTACTTTTATCATATTTCCTTATTACTAAGGGCCCATGATAGGTACGCGGCCCGACCCCCTGAGGGCGCTTTGCGAACCTCTTGTGGGTCGACGTGGCATGAAATGAGCCAAAACTAAAAAAAAAAAACAATTCACTGACCATATGAATGATTGTGGGTGGAAACGCTATTCATTCACTGCTGGTAATAATTCCTATGGAAAGAGAAGAAACGTTTTTAAGAAATGGACGTATTTCTGTCAAACGGAACTAAGCGCCGTAGGGGGAGGAAGGTAGAAGGGGGCTTGGATTGGCGGCGAAACCGGGCGTCGGGCTCATTCGTTCCTATACTCGCAATGCTTTTCCATGGCGCTTAGTTCCATTTGACAGAACGCGCTATCCGGCATTCTAAATTCCTCGAAAGGAACTCAATTTGGCGCTTTGTTCCGTTTGACAGAGATACGTCCAAATAATACTTTAATTTAAATCATATTTAAATTTAATAAGTATCAAATAAATTTGACGGAGAGATTTTGCGCTGTCAGTTGCCCGATAATCTCTGGGAAGACAGGCATATGTGGCGTTTGGGCGTCGTAGAACGCCAGAGTGCGTTGTAGAGCGAATTTTATATACATACACAAATTCAATTATTATATAAATTTAATTATTGTTAGAATTTAAGAAATTTCACGGTAAGTTCAAGTAATTTTACGCCCAGATCAACCTGTGTTGGCGACTGCTACGGTCCAAGCTTTTTTTGCGAAAGACATAATCATCGATGTCCTCCTGTTTTGGTTCACTTCCGCTCCGCCCTAAATGACGTAATGCTTTTTCGACGAGACTATTGTCCATGATCCTGTCCATATATGCCTTGTTTTTTTCACGTAGTCCTTTAGCCTGCAAAAAATCATCCACCATTCACCAATTTAAACAATAATGGATAGTAACCATTAACGAAGCGAGTATGTTTACCTCAATTGAAAAACACGTCGATTTGACGATATAGTTTCTTCAATGACAAGTGTATTGAACTTGACGTATAGAAATAGTGTGTTCCCTGCGTAAAATACACTAAAATTCAGTGTTTGAATTAATAGGAAGAAATTAAAAGCAACACGCTTCTTCCTGAGTGGAAACCCATTTTTTCCAATGGAACTCTCCGGTAAAGCCAATTTAAAACATGTTTGCCTACTTCAGAAGCGATACAGGGGACCCGGCGTCTGGTATTTTTATTTTTCTTCTAATTTTATTGGCAGTGTATTGTAGTCGCACGTTCCTTGCCGCCAGAAAATATATATTTTAGAGTCTTCGCCTGAAGAATCCAAGATATGAAGTGAGACCAGGTAAAACTAAGCTCTCGGAGGTCAACGGTACATTTTGACCCTTTCGAGTTCGACGGTGAAACTACAAACATGCGTAAATCGGTTACGGTCGGTATTTAAACATCTCCTTTTCAACTTTATTTCTTAAAAGAGACTGAGTCAACATCATGGTTCGTAGTTTTTATAGAATATTCTTCACATAGAGAGGAAAAATTAATCAGTTTTTAAAGAATAATGACGATTAGTTGTTTTCTATGCAGTGAAAAAAAAATCTCTGTGTATTTATCAAGAAAAGGGTAAAATTACCAAGAGTTCAGGGTTCTATTTGATTCCAGTTTTTTCTTGGTAAAATTACCATTCATGGAATTGGTAATTTTACCGAGAAATCTCGGTAAAATTATTGAACTTTCTCGAAAATTTTACTGGACCTTGGTGAAACCGGCAATATTTTTTATCGACTGTGGTAGAATTACCGAGATAAAATGGCAAAGTTACCGGGAATTGATTACCAATAAAAGTGGTATTCTTACCTGAAAAAACAGTAAAAATACCGGTTTTTAGGTAAGCTTTACCAGTCTGTCTTGGTAAAATTACCAATAATTGGTAAAAAAAAGTGAGATGGTAAAGGTACCAACGGACCTTGGTAAAAACGCCAAGAATTTTTTCTCAGTGGGTAGAAAATAAGTATGACAGGAAGTCTACAACGCCGCCGTGAGCTGAGATATGCATTCCTGCAATTTCACCATCGACTGTCGCTATGCACGTGAGCACCCATAAAGTTTTCATGAGCGGGAGGTTTGAATTAGATAACGCGTGAAAAAACATTAAAAATCTTAAAATAAAATAACTGATTAACAGAGCGATAACCTTGCAAAATAATATTTAATCAAGTAAAAAACTTACTTGTTATGGCTCTGTAAATCAGTTGTTTTATTTTATCTATAATTCGCCTTGCTCATCACAAACATGTTTGAATTATATACTTAGGTTAGGAGTTAATTCCAGCAATTTAAGTCGCGGGAATCATATTTTACATGAAATTTTGGTGAAGAAACATGTATCAATATTGTATCACAATGCTGAATGATTATGTAGCATCGCGTCCAAGATATTGGACTCCATGCTCATCCTTGATATACTTGCCTGCTCATCTCGTCCAAGATCTTGGACTCCATGCTCATCGCTAAACTTCTCACTTCCTTGCTTGAGCATGGAGTCCAAAAGCAAGCAGACCTCCCTTGGTTTTAAAGTTCATGATAGAACATCGTATACTTGGCTTATCTAATCTAACTTGAATTAACTTAACCTAACTTAACCTAACCTAACTTAACCTAACCTGAGAAATGCACACTTTTTTTCGAGGACACGTTTTTTTGCCTTTATTTCAAAAAAATTGTCCTAATACATTTTTGGACCCTATGCTCGTGTATCGTCCGAGAATACCTGCATCCCACAATTTTGGACGCTATGCTCACTTCAATTTTTCGAAAAAATCATCCTAGTTAAAGTGGGCATGGAGTCCAATATCATGGACGCGATGCTACATTACCTGCTGAATAACTTCGTACCTTGTCTATAGTGGTGCATTGTAAATGGACCACTAGACAAGGTACGAATTCAAGCATTCTGATACATGTTTCTTAACCAGAATTTCACGTAAAGCATGATTCGCGCAAAGAAAACTAATGAAACAAACTCCAAACGAAGATATCAACGTTTTTATTTCACATTGGTTACGAGGAAGTTGAACTGCCCGCTGACAAGAAACTGAAAGCTTTACGTGAGTCAAATCGCGCACTGCAACGCTTTCAACAAGCTTCTCAATCGAGTAATGTTCATTTCTGACCATGTGTTGTTCAAACTATAAGCAATTTGCCACAGCTGAGCCAAGGAGTCAAGATTGAGGTTGCCAGATTTTTACATCGCAGAGACGCTCATGATAACGTTCAGCGCGCGATGTGAATCACGCAGAGTATTGAGTTTTCATGAGCGGGTGGTTTGAATTCACGCATCAAGAATCATTAAATATCTTCGTAAGGAGTTAATTTCGGTAATTTTCGTTGTGCGCGTCGTATTCTACGTGAAATTTTAGTCAAAAAACATGTATCAGAATGCTGAAATTCGCACCTAGTCTGGTGGTCCATAGCGTGTATGTAAAAAAGCGGACTCACTTGCGGATGAGGTGAAGGTGGGCGATCGTCTCTATACATTGACTTCTTCGGTTGAAAAAGTTTCAGGGGTTTCTTTTTGTCTTCATCGGTGTCGTGGGTGTCGTCGACGACGCTGTCATCCAGGCCCTTTATTGATGCAAACCATTTGGCTGTGGCTGTTACGCTGTAACAATTAAAGTGAAAGATTCGCAGAACATTTGAACAGTGCAGTGCTGGCGCCACTCTACTCTGCGGAGAAATCAAGCTCAAAACTTGCGGGAAAGCTCTAATACGTTCGTATCAGAGAAGTGCTCATCTGTTTATACTATGAAGGTGCGTTTTGAGCGTTCACCACGTTAGTAGTGTACGCTCTTTCCCGTCGTTTACGCTCTTTCCAGTCGTTTTGCATCGGGTATGCTACTAATGTATCCATTGGTAAAGGCCCGCACTGCTCCACGGGAATCGGCGCCATTTTTCGTGGCAGGAAGCAATACCTATTTCCTCAATTTTTAAGCGCTCAGCCGATAGGCAGCGCTTTTTGATTTCGACTTGCCTCTAGAGTACTAGTACACTAGTGCTAATTCGTTTAAATGGCGCACCAGCTGATCGATGCGTAGGCTTTTTTGGGGGGGGGGGGTCCATTTTTAAAATAAATAAAGCTGTGAAAACCGTATTTTATGCTTTTAACGTAATGCGCAGGTAGTTTCGATCGTTTGTCTATAAGAAAATTTCTTAGCGGTAGAGTAATTCTTATCGAAATAGATCGTTGAACTCAAATGAAGCCTAAAAAAACGCGCCTGATGAACTCAACGGTGGCTATTATTTTCGGGAAACGAAAAAACGCGTTTACGGTTTCCTTGGTAACCTTTGTTTGCTGATGTTTTATTTCCATTTCCCAGCCAAGTCGACGGAGTTTATACCATCTTTCTTCACTAAATACATTTACTAACACCTGAGCGCTTTTCTAATACGACAGTATTAGAACTTTCCCGCTTGTTTTTTTATGTATACCATTTCTACCTTCTTTCTCCTATTTTGTCCACTTTATGTAATGCCTGTAGGCTTGTCTTTGAGAAATTAATATCTTTAAGTTTTAAGCCTTGCTTTTATTTAAAACTCTTTCAAGGATCGTTCAAATTTTTAGTCGTCGGATATCTAAAAAAATTGTTGGGTACAAAGTACCTACCCCTTCACAATCAGCCCGCAGATCTTTGTACACGCCATCAGGGTGGCATGAAACGAAAGAAAGAAATGAAAGATAGGAAATCTCAGTGAAATATTTCATACATATCAGCGGCTAGAGGATGTAAACCACGCTCAAAAATACCGATATAGAAGAGAGTCACAATTTTAATAAAACGATCGAAATTATTACAAACAATAGAAGTTGTTGTATTAAAGCTCTTGAAAAATTTAAAAAAAACTCATGCTTTCACTCACTAATTATTTATCGGACGCGTTTTGGTAGCTACCCGGGCCCGGGCCACCGTCATCAGCTGTCTGCAGGCGCCTACAAACCTAACAGGGATACTTCACGCATTGCGCAATGCGTGAGGTATCCCTGTTAGGTTTGTAGGCGCCAGCAGTCAGCTGATGCAATGCGTGAAGTATCCCCGTTAGGTTTGTAGGCGCCAGCAGTCAGCTGATGACGGTGGCCCGGGTAGCCACCGAAACGCGTCTGATAAATAATTAGTAAGTGATAGCGTGAGTTTTGAACGTTCACCACGTTAGTAGTGCACGCTCTTTCCCGTCGTTTTGCATCGGGTATGTTACTAATGTATCCATTGGTAAAAGCCCGCACTGCTCCATGGGAATCGGCGCCATTTTTCGTGCCGGGAAGCAATACCTAGCTTCTCAATTTGTTTTATGTATCATTTCTACCTTATTTCTCTTATTTTGTCCACTTTATGTAATGTCTGTAGGCTTGTCTTTGAGAAATTAATATCCTTACGTTTTAGAACTCTGCAACGTGCTTTTATTCAATGACTCTTTCAAGCAGCGTTCAAATTTTTTGTCGTCGTAGTTCTAGAAAAATCTTCGGGTACAAAGTACCCCTTCACTAATGACCCCTATATTTTACTCTATGATGACAAGAAATTTCTTGTATATGTGTATGTTTCCTAGGTTACGCTCCACGTTTAGTTCAGTAGCGTCTTGCGGCGCTCTCTGCCGTCCGCGCAAAACCACTTATACATATTGACGAGGTGCTACGATAAACGCTCTCCGACGTCTTAACGTTGGAACGGTCGCCTTGTTTTAAGTTCCCCGAGGAAGATGAGCAGCATCGAGATGATATAACTCGCTCACTAAAATTTCAACTATCAATTGGACATTTTTCTGCCAAACGGAACTGTGCATTAAGATATGAGCCCTGAGACCCCTAATAATACAGGTATGCATAACAGGGCTCACGTCATAATGCACTTAGTTCTGTTTGGCAGAAATACGTCCAATTTTGAGGGAACGATATACACTACCCCCTAAAAAGTAAATCATAGAAAAACGAAAATCGTCCTCCGCCATCAGAAGACATCAGAAGAATTAAATAAAGGTACCTATCACAGATTAATACTTGTTTTTGTGCCGAAAGAAAACTGATGAATTTGTATCGATTTTTTTTTATTATTTTGTTTGTCCATATTTTGCGTTCTCCCGATAGTAAAATTGAAAGGCGGAGAACCTTTAAATTAGTAATGATGAAATTTACTTGGCGTCGATTTTGTGGGATACCGCTGCATTTCGAGCGACGCATTTTTATATTTTTAGCTCAGCGTTTACCTTTACATGGAAATGTTTTTTGTGGGATAACTATGTCCGTATGGATAAAGCACAAAAACATAGCCCGAGTCTACGAATAAATGAGGAGAGAATTAAAACATGGGTCATTGGGTCAATGAAGGCTAAAACATACAAACACTAAAGGCAGGACGTTCCGATCTGTTCCCAGCTTATTTTCAGCTGCAAAAAAAAACACAAAAAATACAAAATTGAGTGGCGACCTGACCCCAGTCGGTATCACGCAACCTATAACCATGATTGTTTTTTTGCAGCTTAAAATGAGCTGGTAACAGCTCGCAACGTCCTGTCTTTTAGTGTTTTTAATGTTTTAGCCGCCTTTACCCATGTTTTAATTCTCTCTTTATTTATGTGTCCGCAAGGTATGTTACCTTTCATCAATGGCGAGGCGTGAATAATCGACTATTGATATTTCCCCATTTGAAACTATGGTAAAGGATCGATTATTAAGGTGTTTGTTGCGAACATCATTTTTCATAAAGTGCTTTGGAAATCATTAAATTTGACACGGAACCACCAATATTTAAAAAACACACATTATATTATTATTCTCCTTTGATAAATTGATACATATTTTTCCCCCATCAACTTAAATGAGAATAATCAATGCAGAGTGTGCTAACATTTCAAAATCATGAGTTAAAAAACGCTGACTATGCGAGTATAAATATTAAAGCCGAACAGAGCGGAGCGGCGTGCTGCCAGCGCGAGAAGCTCACTGGCGCCTACAAACCTAAGTGGATACTTCACGCATTGCACAATGCTTGAAGTATCCACTTAGGTTTGTAGGCGCCAATCCTTTTTCATAGGTTTAAATTGCAGATCAATCGATATATCACAACGCACGCCACGCTACTCGACCACGTGAGGTAGGTATGTAAAACGTAGGGTATCTTACAATATAGACTAACCTCGGTCTTGAAAGTGTTCGTCTGAGGCCATCCGTTAATTTCCTACCCCAGTCGGCAGGACTGCCTAATTCTCCTGTAAGGGTTCTTCTCAGGCTGTCCCTGAAGCTGCCGGTCCGGGGGGTAGACTCGCTCGGGCTTGACGTTTTCGAGCCGAGCATACGAGGTTGCAAAATGGTGGATTGAAAAGCCTCATTTTTGAGCATGGGTAAATTCTCTTTTCCAGTGGTTCTGCCATCCCAGATATTCTCATTCGTATTTTCTTTCTATCGTTAAAAAATTATCATCAATTTTAGGAAAACTAAATGGGTCAGTTGCGCCGGTCACAGAATCGTGTTTTGATGCTTGATTCTTGTAGATCAGCTAAAAATAAGATCTGTTCAAACAGCAACTTTCTACATTGAATATCAACCAAGATATCGCCTCTTGAAAAGTCGAGTTTTTGACGTCATCTACCGCGGTAGTGACTCCCTTGGTTTCTTCCACCTTGCTTTCATCTGTCGCTGTGACGCACATTTGCACTGGTCATTCAACGGGAAACTCGGATGAAAGCAAGGTGGAAGAAACCAAGGGTATCGTTACCGCGTGACATCAAAACCCCGGTTTTTCTAAGGGCGATGTCTCGGCTATTATTGAACTCAGGAAGTTGCTGTTTAGACAGATGTTTATCATTTTTAGCTAATCTACGAGAATCAAGCAACAAAACACGATGATTTTGTGCCCAGCGCAACTGACCCATTGGTCAACTAAACCTTGTAATTTCCATTTAATATTCTGAAGGTATCAAATTAATAGATTACGCGGTGATTTATTGCGCATTTTTGGCGCCAAAATCCCGGAGAAACCCGCGAAAGGGAGCAAATTTATGCAAAAACTAAGTCAATTGTTGTGTAGACAGATCTTATCATTTTTAGCTAATCTACAAGGATCAAGCAACAAAATACGATTTTGTTCCCAGCGCAACTGATCCATAAAAGAAATTTACTCGCGACCAGATCTAAATTATCCGACAATTTCAAGAGAAAATGTTCATAACTCTCCTCAAAAATTAACATTTTATCGGAGGAAATTCGGCAACTCCCGAATGTTCATACGGCGTTTTTCCTTAGCACGGCAGTACAGAGGTTTACGAGTATTGTCTGTCCGTAGACATCAGAAGGGATTTTGGCTTATTCATGCTAGGCTTCCCAATTTTTTAGGGATTAAGGCCGAGTAGAATCTGTTTCTGCAGATCAACTCGTCAGTTCCATGAAAATTTGAAAATTTGTCACTACCGGGATTCGAACTCCACATTTCTCGACGCGTGAATCGTTTTCTTCATAAAATAAAAGGAACAAACACATTAAGTGGTACTTGAATGGAGATGTTGCATGTGTGAGGAATTTGCGATTTGAATGTTGATTCTTACGTAAAAGTTCGCGAAAAACACGATGGTGTCACTGGTTTTCTCTGAAATCAACTTCCAAGCTCAAAAAAAGGT